TTAACATTGGCCTACCGCTTGTACTAATAAAGTGCCAAGGGCCTAAGTGGTCACCTTAATATTAAAAAAAAAAAAAACTATACCTCATTAAAATAAGCTTCTAATTCATTCCAAAACAAATCAAATTTTGTTCCTTTAAATCCATTATTTTGATGCAGATCACATACAATTGATGGATCTTCTATTGCTAACATAAGATGAAGTCATTCTTCAAACTCTTTACTAATCTCATTTGATGTTATAGCAGCATCACCACTTAAATCATGATATAAAACACGCAAAATAGCAGGTGTAATAGTTTGAATTAATGAATATTTTTTTAGTACATTTTTTTCATTTGTTGGCTAAAATATTGTGGCAATTTTTCTTGAATAGCTGCCATTACACGTGCTTGAGTAGTTTCAGAGCGGTCTTCAAAATCAATTGGAATTTTCCAAATATAGTTGATAGTACCAAGATAATTGCTTTGATAATAACAATATAAAGTAATTAGAAATCGGATTTGAAGACTTTTAATATAATGATAACGTTGCATTGCATCTTCAGGTAAAAATCTTTCTAAATTAATTTCATTATAATCATTAGTATTAGATAAAAAATCCTGAAGTTGTTGATATTTTATATTAATCTTTTGACATGGTTCAATTGAATATACTTTTAGATCATTAGCTGGCTGACGTGCTGGTGAATCACTTATATATATTTCTTTCATAACTTGATTAATTTGCTCTAAGTTTTTTGCATATTTTTGCATTGCGGATATTAAGATAAAAACTTTATTAATAATTATTTCCCAATTATCACTTGTTGCCCATAGTTGAACTACTGATAGTTCTAATGAAGAAGCTAGTTGCTCAAGCTTTTCACGGTTAAGATTAGTTTTAGCATGTTTTCCAGTATGATAAAAAAGATTAAAATGTTGGTCTTTTTGATACTGATTTAAATTATTAAATAGTTCACCAAGTGAAAGTGATCGAGCTATAAACTTTGTACGATGTGGATCTATATACCATAAGGCTGCTGTTAAACGTTCAATAAAACCTTTTCCAATTGTATTATGTTTTGCATTTTTCCATCCAACTTCTTTATTTTGAAACAAGCGAATAATATCATTATAAAGTAAATCTCTGTGAGTATTCTCTTTTTTTAGTTCAGGAAGATGGATATTTTGTGAATTTTTCATAAGAAGCTCAAATGCATTTGAATTTTGATGAGATTCTTGGATGCTAGTCTCTGCTATATCTAAAACAAATTTAATGAGTAAAATTAAGCTCAAATAACATTGATATATCACCCTCCAACCCTTCTTCTACATAAACCCAATTTTCTGGAGGCTTTCTTAAAAATACTCGAACTACACAATCTTCAAATTGATCATTCGTAGCTGTATCAAAAATTTCATAAAACTGTGAAGTTTCTGTTTGCAACACTTTTACAACCTTGTCTGGAATAATGGTTTTTGTTTCTCTAACTACACACACAACAAAAAACCCCATTATTTAAAAATTTGCTAGCAACGATGTTCATATATAAGTTTAAAATTTATATATTAGACTCGTCAAATAAAGACCAAATTAACAAACTAAAACATGCCGATATATATAGTCAAAACATACGTAATATGAAGAAAGATTTAATCTTGTTTTGATCAAGTAATATTTAAATGAATTACTTAAAATACGCAAGATGGCTATAGAATATGAAGTTTCATATTATTATTGCTACTATTACAATATTGGATAAGTTTTTTTGCACAATGTACTATATGGGTTAGATTGATCTCGAATCAGAAAACTAGCTAGAAATTATCAGGTTAAAGCTTTTTTTTTAATACATTATACAATAAAATTTCTAACACCTCACTTTAACGTCATTTTTACCAAGAAAATCAATAAGTTTTGGTGATTTTAACAACAGGTATAGAAAGTTTAATTATCGTTATATTAAAAGAAGCAAAAACATATAGATAATAAAAACTAATTTATAGCCAAGTGTAAATTGGTCGGTTCATTACTAACTTTAAAGTTCAAAAAAAAAAAAAAACTCTCTATATATTATATTATACGTATGTATGTACGTTGTACATACTTTACTAAATTTGTTTACTGGTATAATTTTTTTTTATCGATAAGTATACATTGTTAAATATGATTATGCATTCACATACTAACAAGTTTTCAACAATGATATTTTTAGTAATATTGGGCAAAATCGATTCAGACCTGGCTGACCAGAAATCCGATGCATTCCGACTTAGCATGTGAGCATAAAGAACATTTATTTATTAATCAATGGAATTAAAAATAGCAAAACAAGAGCATTAATTTAGTGGGTCGGTATAAAGAACATTTATTAACCAATGGAATTAAAAACAGCAAAACAAGTTCACAAAACAAGATCATAAATACTTATTTACCATTATGCTTAAATTCATTTCATTCGCATTAATTATTTTATTCAGTGAGCGAGTATAAAGAACATTTATTAATCAATGGAATTAAAACCAGCAAAACAAGTTCACAAAACAAGTTCATAAAACAAGTTCATAAAACAAGTTCATAAATACTTATTTATCATTACGTTTAAATTCATTTTATTCGCATTAATTTAGCCGGTAAATATAAAAATTATTTATATTCAATATAAAGTTTAAAATTGCAGATGCGAAATAAAACATTATATATTATATAGAAAACCGAATGTGGAAAATGTGCTCATCGTAATGAAGATAACACGCAACCAGCATGGTGTATATCATGCGACCCTTACATAACAACAAGGTATATTTATGATTGCATGAAAACGTTCCAACTTAGAGCCTGGAAATATGAAAATACGATTGAATGGATTCCATTTAATAGATTATCTGATGTTAAAAAAATTGGTGAAGGTGGATTTGGTTTTGTGTATTCAGCAAACTGGTTAAATGGCATATGGAATGTTGATGGTGATGATTATAATTATGTAAGAGCGCGTGAATCGTCCAGTGTCGTTGCACTCAAGACGTTGACTTGTTCTGAGAATAATAGCGATCTCTTAAAAGAAGTAAAGTTAATTTATTGCTTTGATAATTTATATAATAGTTTATTGAACTAATTCATTGTTTTAAATCTTAAGTTTAAAAGTCTTTTAGAATGTACATTAAGTATAATGGGATGCCCACAATATATGGAATAACTCAAAACACAGAAAAAAACGAAAACCTGATGGTATTTCAGTATGCTAATGATGGGAATCTTCAAAATAGTTAAGAAGAAATTTTAATACACTTACATGGCAGACCAAAATTGCAGATACTTAAAGATGATTCAGATAAGCTAGATAGCGTCCACAGTTGTGCATACATTAATGCTGATTTTCATAGTGGTAACATTTTGCAAGACAAACAATCTTATATCGCAGATCTAGGATTGTCTAAAAAGAAAGATGAGGACACTTCGGAAAGCGAAATTTATGGTGTCATGCCCTATGTTCCTCCCGAAGTCTTAGCAGAAAAACAGCAGTTTACACAAGTAGCAGATATTTATGGGTTTAGTGTTATTATGGCAGAAATGCCGACTGGTCAAAGACCTTTTGATGGACGTAAATTTAATGCTAAACTTGAAGTTGATATTTGTAGAGGATTACGACCAGAGTTTGCACCTGGAACTCCTAAATGCTATATTTAATTGGCAGAGAAATGCATGAATTCTGATTCACAATTACGACCTAGTGCTTGGGATGTTTATTATACAATAAATAATGATTGGCTTGAGAAGATAGCTAGTTCAGATGATAATAAAATTAAAACGCAATTCTTGGATGTTGATAAAGTTATTAAATCATTACCGATACCAAAGCATTCTGATGAAATGTACACTAGCAAAATTATTAGCACGAAATCAATTTCAAAGGCGATTGAAGGTATTAACTCATATATCGAAATTATGCTTCATTGATTTACTTTAAAACAATATTCTGTTTATTTAGATTTAGCTCAATCGGATTAAGCTTCATATTACTGATGTTTAAAAGCTTTGGTATGTATACAAGTAATAATTTATTAATTACGTAAATTTGATCTCCCTATACAAGGTTCGTTTTGGTAATATGAAGATTGAAATTCGAATCTAAGTATTATATATATATGTTGTTTAATTCCCCCCTATTGTTTGCTCAATAGAGGGGGGGGTTATGTTAAACATAGATTTAAATTGGAGTGGCCTTATTCTATTATAATATTTACGATGTTGACCAACTTATTTCAAAAATATATTAATATTTATTTTTATTGTTAGACCCGTAATCCCATCCGAACTAATGGCCATAAACGACCGTTGAAGCACGTTACTCATCGCATTTCAAATGTGATTGTAATATCTCACGAGGAGCGCAATGCCAAGAAAACAACCAAAGCAATTAGTTCCAATGTTTCTTTTCTATATCCTATATATATTATTATTATTTTATTGTCTATCTCTATTATATGTTTTAGATATATTATACCATGTATACTTACCCGATAGATTAGATGCAGTATAATTAATAGATGTAATGGTCAACAATCACAGTCGATTTAATTGTATAAATAGCCACGATTTTCCACTGGGAATCGACAGTTAGACACTGTCTTTATTTAATAAACATAAATTATGTCTTCATGCACGAGATAAAACCCAAATATAATTGTTAAGTGAATTAACGATCTTGATCATGTGATTTACTGCGAAAGTTATTCACGTTCACTTGATTTTTGAGAAACATATTGACACTTTCATTATTCGACAATTTGTACCTTCATATACATTTAGCAGGTTGCCTCCTTCATAACTGAAAATATTTGATACAAATTATTACAAATGATATCAGGCTTGAATTTTCTTCTTGCATTTTATTTTTATATTAATATTCTGCAAATCACACAAAACCTCTTAATTTTATATTTTTACTTGTGGCATTTATTAACATCAATGCCTAGCTTCATCTAACCGATTTAGAAAGTATTATTTAATAAATATTCTGGAAATTAATTACTATTTTTTTGATATTCTAAAAAAGCATAATTGTATGTAACATTTAAATTTGCCACATTCATACACTACACTTCACATTAACCATTTTTTTTCTAAAGTTCTGTTGGACTTAGAAATTGTCATAGGTTCCCGATAACACAATCCAGTCACGAGATCTCAAAGACATACTTACGTACATATTTTTTTGGTCCAAAACCAGCAGAGTACGCATGGCAAAAAGTCATGGCAAACATGTCAGAAGGATAGCTGAAAAAGCTATTTTCAATGGACATATTAATATCTTAATAATAAATTTACAGCCATATAGTGACTGGTGTTGGAAGCTTTGGAAATGTTTTTAAATACGAACGGAAAGACACTGAACTAACAGTTGCTCTTAAATGTCTTATAATCGACACAAGTTTATATGATAAACCTATTAAAAATATTATTATTGAGATCTATTATCACTGACTTTAATTGCTTCTTGTTTACGCTAACTCAATTAGCTTGAACTATAATGAAAAGTTCTAACGCCAAAAAATATTATTGCATTCTACGTAGTCAAAAAAAGCATTAAAAAGATTTGGCAAGTAGGCATTAAACTAGTTTGCATTATTAGTCAATGAATTTAAACTTTAACCTTAACAACTCTCACTACCTCAAGATTGTTGAAACAATATGGGCACAATTAGAAATTATTTTATACACTTGATGGCTAAAAAATTGCGCTTACGGAATAACGCTCATGGGCGTTATTTCGAAAATCAGAACCCCCTAAAACAGTGTTGTTGCTAGACCGGTCCAGTGAATTTCACTGGAACTGGAAGCATTACTGGAACTAACTAGGTTCCAGTAGTAAGTTGTCACTAGACCCTTCCAATAATATTTTTTTACCACTGGATGAAAGCTCCAGTGAAGTCCAGTGAGATCCAATGGAATTTAATAAGTCAAAAAAGCATATAGATAAAAAAAAACAAAAAAAACTTTTTTTTATTTATGTAACACTATAAAGATTTATCACACGTGAAGGTATATTAAATGCATATATATAATCTATTTGTAATAGTGCAATCCTGTAATCAAAAAAATTAGATCGAAAATATTATATGCAGGCTAAGATTGTAATTGGATCGTTAAGATTCAATATCAATTAATGATCGTATATAGTGGTGTAGACGTATTCAAAAAATTACAACCCAGATTACGTCACGGCATGTAGTAATAGCCGTCGTATTATTGC